ATATAGGGGAAGAAATTTGTTTTTTTTTTTATAAAAAAAATAAAAAAAAAAAAAGAAAAAAAAAAAAAAAAAAAAAAAAAAGGATGTATATTTTTTTTATGTCATATTTGAAATGAACAGTATTTTTAAAACAACTCCGCTTCTGCTTTCATGTTTTTACATTTTCCTCCCCACAGCATCACACTTCCACTTCCATGCTTCACACCAGGTTTATGCTGAACATGTTAATTCACACCTAATCAGGTCTGGTTTGGTCCGGACCGGATGTCGTTGCCATGGTTACCCATAGCTTTGCTCCCTTTGGAGATCAGCCAGACCCACCGGGTCGCGCCGCTGGGTTCCTGCGTTCTGCTGACTCATGGTTCTGAAGCATCTCGTATCATTGTGGATTGTTGAAGCGCTTCAGTGTTCAGTTCACCTCACAGCAACACCAGCCGTTCATCTGCTCCCACTAATTACCAACAGCAGGAGCAGGAAGACGGAGCGGCCGAGGCGTCGCTGTGGCAGAATAAAGGAAGAGACTGGATTATTATAATGCTGATATGCAGCGCTAGCCGGTATATTAGCTCATCCTCCACTCTGATGGGCATGTAGCGCTGCAGTGGTGGGATTATGCAAATAGCAAATTGGAGAGGAAGGAGCTGCTGGTTCCCCTGCAGTTGACTTCAAAGCAGGAAGGAGAGGAGAAGGAATTAGAGCTCAGCTTAATCCCACCGGAGGAGGGAGAGGAGCCGCGCTTATTAACGCACCAGCAGCCTCCATCAGAGAGCTAAAACATGATGGAGGGATGAGGAGGAGGAGAGGTGAAGGAGAAGCAGAGAACCAGAGGTGGTGGAGGACGGACAGAACCAGATTCTGCTTCAGGTTCAACAGCTGCAGACAGAAACTAACAAACATTTCCTGGAAAGTTTCCTCCACCAGCGAGCATCCAGAGCCGTTCCTGCTGTTAGCAAACCCTTAAAGGGCCAGCGCCGTGGTTTACAGCTACATGGAACCATTTTATAGCAATCAAGTAACCATGTTACCGTCAGCTCTTATAAAAATGCTGTTTATATCTAATATGTCTTAAAGAGATTTGGCTTTGTATTTTAACATTATGAAATTGGGTCTCTGTCACTTTCAGAAGCTCCTGCTTTTTCTGAAGCTCCGCCTCCAGGAAGTCATTCCAATATGGCTCCTCTATTAACCCCTTAATGTTTTTACCAGCGTTGCTCTGAGCAGTAGCTCCTATAATGACCTCAGCAGTTTCACCAGCTGTTTGCTAATTACTGCTGGCTAGTCTGAAGGAGCTGAGACTCAAAGGTGGGGCTAGATCCACCTAGGTGTTTTGACAGCTGAATGGTTGTCATGGAAATGAGAGGATTTCTCAAACATGAAAGTATGAAAGCAACACTGCAGGTAAAAACATTTTAACATGATGGAAATATTTTTTTAAAAGTCAGTTTAATGTGACACTGGCCCTTTAAGTCAGTGATTGGTTTCATCCTCATGTTGACCAGCAATGCCAGTTTAGAGTAGCAGGACAAACTAATGGTTCCAGCGTATCATCAAGGTACGGCACAGCACCACTATCTGGATGATTTGAATCTGAAGCCAAAAGGACACGTACACAGCAAATCCAGGAGGCCCAGATTAACACTGTCAGATTTGATTTCAACACTTTTAAAGTGTCTATATGGGTCCACACCAGAAAGTGTTAATTTAACTCTTTTTGAAGAGTTGGTACCTTAACTCTAATAAAGTGTCAAATATCAAATCTGCTGGAGTTAATCATTTAACACTTACTAACACTAATTCAGTGTTAGATCTTAATATTAACTCTCACAGAGTACTTCTTTAACTTCTTAAGAGTTATTTGTAATTAATATTAAATAGGTACTTTATTGTGTTGAACTTTTAAAAATTCTTTGGAAAATAAACATTTAATAAAGAGGCAATGATTTTCTCAAATCCATTTATTTCAAAACGTGCACCATAATTACAAAACATATTACAACCTGGAATAATGTGCATGTTTTACATGTCGCTTTCTTTCACATATTGTTTTTTAAAAGGTCTAACATATCAGCTGGGCAATACAAAATGCAGTATGCTTAATACATTTTTCTTCAATACAATATGCATGAAATTGTTCAAAGTACAAGGTGGAGAAAGTAAAGCCTGTATCAATGCATGCAGTTCATGTAATATTTGATAGAGCACATTTTCTTTTAACAGGTAGATTGCCAGATATGTACAGTACATAACAGACCAACCTGATATTCAGATCCATCATCTCTTATCCAGTTTCTGTTTCTGTTGATAAGAGACAGATCCTCTCTGCACTCCACCAGAGAGATGTCCAGTCACTAACAAATTGTCTTCAGGTTGTTGGGCTGTTCGTGACGTTTGGCCGAAGACACCAACATGCTCCTCTACTGCATCGGATAGACTTCAGTCTCTGAGTACTACAGCCAGTGTCGGTCTCTGGATCATAACAAACAAAAAACAGAACAATAAGGAATGGAGCGAAGGAATACATTTTACTACAACACTACCAACAAGCCTCCATTACAGAAATGTGGAGTTTCACAGATATTCACACTTACATAATCATTTTTGGAGCTTGAATCTACGAAGAATCCATGGAGGGATCAGGAGGGGGAGGTTAGGCTGGAGATTCATCCGCAACCAGACTGGTTGTATACAAAAAGGCAATAAAAGGATTAAAACATGCTGCAAAACGTATATAAGAAGACACAACAGCGGGAATAATGCTCTCAACGTGAAAAAGCCTTTTACATTTTTTCAAAGGAAAAAAATCGATCAGAAAGGTTGATAAATCTGACCAATATGCATGTAAACGTTCAATATAATGAAAAACATACTCCAGATTATTACTGTTCAATTTAGCCCATAATTTGATTAAATCTTCACCGGCTCGATATTTTTCCAACATTTATACTCCGCTAACATTCGGCATGCTAAGCTAAATATGCTAACACGGAGCCGTGTGGAGAACGTGACGTCTGTCATACAGGTTGAGCTCAACTCAAAATAATAGTTATAAACCATCTCAGAAAAAAATGACTTACCAAGCGCAGTAAATAACTCAGACATGTGGAGATTAAATAGTCCTGAAACGATTTGGCTTCTGTCGCTTCGCTTCGGTGGGAATCTGTGATTCTGGGGCGGAGGCAGTGAATTAACTCCTTCAGTGTTAGAGCCGCTGGTGGAGTTCAGAGTTAAGAAGTCAAGAGTTATTGATTCCATTTTAACACCTCTAGATTTGATACGGAAACACTTTGTTTTAACACTGGATTTTAACTACTAATAATATACACCCCAGACTTACATAAACAGAAAGTGACTCTATTAGAGTAAAATTAACTCTGCTTTTGCACAAAGTCTACTAACACCAAAACATTTAACAGTTTTGAATTTGCTGTGCAGATTACATTTACTGTTCCACTAACTGTGCAGGAAAGAGATTTCTGAGTGGGACAGAAAACCAGTCGGACTGCTGACAATATTTTTGCATTAAAAATAGAATGAAAAACACCATGAATAAACTTTAATGTGGATGTGATTTAACAAACAAAAATAAATTTCAACAGCCAGCCAACAGCCTGAAAACCATCAGCAGCCATCGATACTTACGGCCACTGATAGCTGGCTGTTGGACGAGCAAAGGAAAAAAAATTGTGCCATTATTTTTCGACCTGAGTAAATATGATCTTCTCTAGGCAAAGTGTGGGTGAGCATGTGGTCCCGACCTGTTAACGGGCCCGTTGTCTTTTTTCTTTTCATCCCAACACCGGCAGGAAAGAAAAGGTCGCCACGGTTCTATAATTACGGCATTTGGCCCAGATGTGGCACAAATACGCTCTAAAAAAAGATGTGTTAAAAAAGAACACAAAAAATATGTTATTAAATTAAAAGCATATTTTGTGTTAATTTTACACATTGTGTGTTAAAATGAGTATAATAATATGACACACAGTAGGTGTTGAATATTTATTTGAATATTTCAACACATATTTGTGTTAGTTTGTGTTTGTCAGGTACACAAACATGAATCTGAATGGCAGATTCATCTTCTATTCAGATGGTAATTCATATCAATGACAACTACTGTAAAATAAATTTTTATTTTTAACATTTCCTTTTAATTTATTTTTAAACTGTGGTTGTTAATTTAGTATTGTGATAAGATTTAATAATTTTTAAAATGATGCAGAGGTATTTGTTGGGAGGGGGGAGCAAATCAACACATAATGATTGATTATCACTTTTCATTAAATTACTACTATTCTTACATTATTTTAATACATGGTTATTGTTTGCTATTCAGTCAATTTTTTAATATTTGCAATAAATAACAATTATTACATATATTAATTAGAAAATATTTGAGCAAAGAAAGTTGATCAAATCAAACATCAAAGAACAACCTCAAGTCAGCACAAGTGGCCACCATGAAGGATCAAGTTTGGATTTTTTTCCCCCGCACGGAATAAGCGAACACATGCGGGAGGCAAATATGGAGATCTTATGAAATGCAACTTCAGTAAGTTTTAAATTTGTTTAAATGCAATATAGTCTAGAATCTGGGGACTCAATGGTTGGAAAAAACGTTATTTTTTGTGCCACTACTTGGTCTGCATAGTTGTAACGTTAATTATCTCACTGTGGCAGATGAGATGGGGTCACCATTTTATCATTTGTGTCTTTTTTTGTCCAAAGTTTATTGAAGAGGGTAACATTTTAAAATTAAGGGTTAAAGGGAGATTGTTGAAGTTTTGGAATAAATGATACATGATGAATATTGCAGTGAGAATTTTTAGATGCAATTGTACATTATAGACAAAACGTAATTTATTTTTTTTAAATAACACCTGCAATTCATTTTCGAGAAAACATCTCAATATTATAAATATTGTACATAAGTGTAAATATTGTCAAATAATTTAGCTTTAAATTAAAATTGGAAGCCTTTGTAATCTAAAATGCCTGTTTTCCTGTAAACTGGAAGTTAGCAGCTTACAATAAAGCTGTTAACTTTTCTGTAAGTAAACAGAAAAGTTAACTTACTCCCTTTGGGAGTGAAGGAGACACTAACGGTTGGAGCTGTTAACGGCCGTTGATATTCGAGTGGAAGCGCCAGTCCTCCGGAGACGTTGGAAAGTCGGTCTGACACGGTAATATTACTTTTGTTTAACTGATCTAACTGAAAAATTAAGATGACTGTTAGCGAACTGCCTTAAAGGTCAGCTGGCGAAAAAAAGCAGGCATAGAAGTAATTGTAAGATGTTAGCTATGTTAGCACTTTCGAGTGGAACTGACGTTGAGTTTACCGGATTTTGATCAATTGCACAGAGAGGCACAGAGAGGCGACTCAATACCAGGACCGACGGAGGGACGAAGAGGCGACTCACCAGGACCGACGGAGGCACGGAGAGGCGACTCGATACCAGGACCGACGGAGGCACGGAGAGGCGACTCCATACCAGGACCGACGGAGGCACGGAGATGCGACTCTATACCAGGACCGACGAGGCACGGAGAGGCGACTCAATACCAGGACCGACGGAGGCACGGAGATGCGACTCAATACCAGGACCGATGGAGGCACAGAGAAGCTTCATCCCAGCCAGCATGCCTAGGTGGGACCCATATGGGGAAAGTAGGGCTGATATATGGGTCCCATATGGGTTTGTCCGCGGGTTCCATGATGGCCCTACATGGACAAACCCATGTGGAGCCATCGTGGAACCTGCGGACAAACCCAAATGGACCCATATATCAGCCCTCCTTTCCCCCACATGGGGCCCACCTAGGCATGCTGGCAGGGATGGAGCAAGGATCGACAGAGGTATGTCAGTATTGGCCCTAATTTATTGAAATACCTTGTGAAGATTTTAGCAGCACCAGGAAAAAAGTCTTTTAAAAAAACTGCCCGTCTTTTTCTGGCGCTTTTCCAGTTCACTTAAAAGACACAACACGATTGTGTCGTCAACCATCTCATGCTCCATGAACGCCAGAGTCCATCCAGCAGAACAGCCCCAGGCCTTCTTTAGGTCTTTGAAAACCTTTTTCGTCAGGCCTGGAAGCCAGTTCTGCTGGATCACGATCGGCTGGCCCTCGATTTTAGCACAGATGTTGTGAACAATGCGTTCCTGTGCCTCTTTCAGGTCCTCAAGACACCAAGATGTTTTGGATTTCTTGATGCCTTGACACATCAACGACTTAACAAAAAGTCGGATTGTGTCCTTTCTCTGTTTCTCAAAGGACGTCCTCAGTTCTTCGATTTGATCTCTCACTGTTATCAGTTGTTGGACGATACTGATCACAGGTTGAACCAAGGAACTGAACCCTAAACTCCGCCTAAGAACCACTTTGGGGTCTTCATTCATACCATTCATAGGAGACTTGACTGCAGATATTATATGCTTTAAGAAAAGCATGTTAAATACCTCAGTGCACTCTCCCTGAATGGTCTCCTCGACCCCCATGGCCTTGGCAAAGGCCTGAGAAACCTGGTTTCCAAATAAGGCTTTTAAATCGCCATATTTGTATTTCAGGTTCTCAAGTAAGTTCAGAACGAAATCAGAGAAAACGTCCGTCAGGTAATGTAAAAGGTATTTGGTCCTCTCTGTGATACTCTCATTCAAGTGCAACAAATTAAAATCCTCCTCCGGAATATGATAAATGTATTCCGCGATTGCAGGGACAGCATCGTCATCAACTAAAGCTTGCAGATCTCTCAGTATATCCATTGGTGTTGTGTTGAATTTAACTCTACTCTGTTTCCTCTAGAAATGTCTTGGAATGTGGCAGAATTTTACCAACAGGACTTGTATATACCCCGCCCCCGTGTTACACAACAAAGCAGTACGTGACATCACAACCTATGACGCATCAGCACAAGAAACCACAGCGCTGTGATGTAATAGGCCAACAAATCAAGAGTTCTGACAATCTGTGCTGCCTCGTCACTTTGTCTTAACAGACCTCGTCTTTCAATAACGAGTAATCTAATGAGTTACTATTTCAAATCCAGTAATCAGATTAAAGTTACTTATCCAAATCACTGTTCGTTACTATTTTATATAAAATAGTAACTGATGATTCCTCTACGCATCTTGGAGAGCGATCGTTGTCAGGAGCGACAGAAATGTAAACAATGGACGGAGGAGAGAGATGTGCATTTTGTTGCTGGACAATCAGGAACTATTTTGAGTTTCTGTCAAGTCCGATTATTATAAGTGACCTTGTTTTTTGTTTTTAAAGTCATTGCAAATTGAATGAGTCGCAGGTTGCAGTTTTTTGGGGGCTTGTTTTTAAACATGAAGTTCCTCGTTTGGGCTTGGAAATAAGCACAGACGCATGAGACTCAGATGGCTCTCGCTGTCAGGGAAATGTTCATCTGTGTCTTTAATATCCAGGTACTATAAATACATTTATAAATATAAATATAAAAACATATTTATTGGCGGTCCTAGCCAAAGAGGCTTAAATTTCAAATTAAATTTCATTTAAGCCTGTTAAATTTCGGTACCAAAATTAAATTTGGTCAAACTGAAATTTTAATTTCTGCACCAACCAGTCAAACTGAATTAAAATTTCAGTTTGACTGGTTGATGCAGGCGGTGTTGTGTTGACGGCCCAGTTTGGTCCGTCCGTGTTGTGTTCAGGGCCTGTAGGACGTGACAGCGCTGTTGTGCCTGCAGCAGTCTGCCTTGGATCAATAATCCAGCCCTGATGTATTTCACATAATTAGAGCTGCAGATATGAAACCAGTGGCACATTTTCTCTGCTTCTTGCCACAAATTGATCTCTCTGAAGGAATGGAATTGATTTTCCCTGGGAAACGAGCCTCTCTGCATCCTGCGGAGA